TGTTTGTGTGTGTGTTTGATTTTTATGAAGAGAGTTAGGCACCCAAACCAAGAATAAAACCATGCAGATTATTTTTGACAGGTGTACGGGAAATCTCCTTTACTCTGAAAACCTTCCTGTTATCGTGCAAACATTGCCATTCTTCAACAATCTCTGGTTCAGCCAGTTTAACTTCATTCTGTACTGCCCAGAATTTAGTCAAGCAACACCTTTAACTTTCTGTTTATAAAGGAACACATTCACCAGACACAAGCTTGACTTTGGATAGCAAGAAGGGCCAGCAGCTTACGGTAAGGAGAGTTATTATAAAAAAAAGTTATGTTTGTGTTTCTACATGTTCAATCTGAGCAATAAGTTACTTTTATTTTCCTGTCATCACTACTGGCTGAGCTGCATGAAGAAGATTTGATTGTAAAGTGTGTTTAAAAAGACCTGAAGTACAGTTTTTAAATAAAATACACGTCTTTACCTTTTATTCCATTTTCCTGTTTGAGAACRGTTAGATCACACAGTAATCTGTCCGTAAACACTTCTTAGAAAATAAACCTTCAATCATGAAATTACTGAAACCAATGCTATTAAATGTTATGTAATCATTGAAATCATTGAAATCAGTCAGCTTGAATTACTTTGTAATGAAGGAAAAGAAAAATGGAATAATCTTATGAAAGCTGAGGTTCAATAAATCTAACATTAAACTTCTGGCAAATAAAACGTGATCTTTTTGCACCATAAGCAGCCTTATTTGATGTAAATAAAACTAATGTTTTAGACATCTGGAAATTAAAAAAAATTGATAATCACCTGTAGATTCTGAGTCATCACAAACCTTCCTCAAAGGGTTTTTAATCTGGGTTGTAACACTTATGGTCATATTAAAGTTGTTCTTCATGTATAAACTAAGTAAGGGAACAGGGAAGCTCTGAATATATTTCTGTTTTAGCTTTAAAAACCATGAAACATTTAAATCAACTTCAGAACATGGCAGAAAACACCGGAGACGTGACTTGGATCAACATGAAGAAAAATCAAAGTGAACTACCAAACTCCCAAACAGATAAATCAGAATATAATGTTAAAATATACATATGAGTTCACTTCTAAACTTTTAAAATGTGTAATAAACCTAGTAGAGATCCAACAGACGATCTCTTTACTAAATGTCAACGTAGAAGAATGAGGTGGGTGAACACCTGTCAGCAGGTGTGTACCTGATCCAGGGCAGTTTATTTTATTTTATTTTTTTAAACCAACAGCAACCAGTGTTAATGTGGAGAAACAACTGACTTGGAGTCAGTCTGTGAGATGTGCTCAAAATAAAGTATATTATGAATGTCATACAGTATTTTAACTCAATATCTGTAAAACTAAGCTCTAATTTTGGGTTAATATTGATSCAGTGACCATCTTGATCTGGATTGATGCTAAAAGTTACTGTTATCGATGTACATCCAGTGATTTTCTGAATGTTTTATTAACATTTGTGCACATGTTCAAGCAATAGTTTGGTGGTGAAATCAAAAACATGAGCTAAACATAAAAAAACTGTCTCATAGATATTTCCTGTGTCCCTTAAACCTCCAGTAACGTTTAAATTCTCCAGCTGAGGTAGAACAGCCCTGCTCTGTAAAGGCAAAGATGAAGAATAAAAGTGCCTGTATCAACTATCAGACAAAATATGTTAATGTAAAATATGATAATTTTATTAAATACTTTATTTTACTGTTATGTTATGGTTATTTCTGTAACATCCACATCTATCAGTTCATGTTTACTATAATTCCCATGAAAATACTTGATTTCAAGAGTTAGAATTAGCATTAGATTATCTCTTTCATGCTTAGTAGAACTATCTGTAAAGTTTATAACTCTTTTCTTACATCATAGAATCTATCATCTAATTAAATCTGCACATTTGTGTGTTTGGTATTAATCAAATAGAAAAATGTTAAGTATTGTGTTTCATGCAGGTGTTGAGTTCTGCAGAGAACATGAGTTTGTGTCTTTCTGCTCAGGCAACAATGCTGCACTACCTGTTGTCGGTTTTTGTTTTGAGGTGGTTGGTAAGGAGATTTGGGAAAATACAAATGTGTTTTTGTCGTTCCCATAAGAAAGTGTCCATTTCATTTCCTGGACTAAACTGTGAGCCACATCTATCAGCGTCAAAGTGAGTTTAATCAGAATCCAAGTGTGTTCTGCTGGAAGCAGACTCCTTAGTGGTGAATAAATGAGAATATCCAGGTTTCACAGAAAGCAGCATTACCTTCCAGTGYTTGCAAGTGTTTGATTTCAATTGTTCCTTTTTAAACTGGTGAAATTATGAAACAAACTGGCAGAAAGAACCAAATTTCTAAATTATCCTGAAAATAAAAAGTTCAATAATTTGAGCTTATTCTGTAAAAACGATGAGATACCTGATTCAATGATGTTGAAAAATAATACCTTTTTAATTAAATAAATACAGGAATATTTTTTTATTTTTTTTAATCAGACTGGTAATATCTATAAAGTTATATCATCATCATCACTTTATTTATGTAACACATTTAAAAACAACAATGTTGACCAAAGTGCKTCACAGACATGATGCAATTAAAACTAATAAGCTAAAACAAATAAAGACACAAATTACAAATTCCTGAGGTAGTTCAAACTGAACTTGAATTAAAAGCCAGTGTAAAAACGTGAGTTTTTAAGCGATATATACAGTATGACATTTATCATAAAACTATGTTCATGTCAGAGTTTACTGACATGTTTCAAACATTAGATCAGACATTAGACACACARTTAGACACACAACCACAGTGGACACGTCCTGTCTGCTTTAATCACCTCATCAATCAAAACATTATAATCTCTGTCATCTCCTTTTACAGGATTCTGAAACACCGTCCTCTCAACACATCAAACAGCAGCTTGATTTCAGAATAAATGCTGATGAGCTCAGCGTTCTCTCAGATCTCTCAGCAGAGATTTGTTGCTTCTTTGATGAGTAACCAGTAACTTCCTGCTCAGTTCTGATCACTAAGCATCTGTCTTTCTTCCAGAGCTTCAGACTCTGTCTTGATGAGTTGAGATGCGGGACAGGTTCAGAGTGAGTGTCCTGCTGCAGAGCCTGACTCTCCTCCTGTTCAGTCCCACCTGTGGAGCATCTTCTCTGGGGCTCACTGTTCATGTTGTGCCTCTGGACAGCGATGGAGGGAAAAYGGTGGGCAATATTTTCTCCGTTCAAAAGCTTTTTTGTTCCCATTGTTAGGATGTTGTTTTGTTGTTTGTTTGTTTTTTTTTTTTTCAATCTGAGTTCTATCCTCAGTCTCTGCAGCAGACTGCCAAAGTGCTTCTAGGCAGAAATCAGGAACCCACCACTTTCAGTTCAGCAACGACTCAAATTATTTGCACACTTCTATGATCTTTTTATTTTACCTTCACAAAATCTAAATATGTTTTGAATAAATGCAAAGTACTTGCCATATACTACTCCATGCAACCAGTGAGCTACAAGTTACCATAATACTAAAAAAATATTTCAGTTTAGATCAGAACATGGTTTCACTAAAAAAAAAAACCCACTGAAGATACTCAAACTGTTATTAAGATCATACAGTCATTAAAAAAATGTATTTTTTTTCTGTTAACCGGCTTCTGTACATACAAGTAAATGTTTGTACTTGGGAAAAATGATCATAAGGTTAAAATAAAGTTTTTGATTTGAAGTTTAAAACATCAGCTAGAGAAAAGTATCAATTTAAATCCCAAGTTGCTTCTTTCTTAGTTAAAGTTTATGTCTAGAAACTTGTGATATTTGTATTTATAACTCAAAGATTTTTATTTGAATTTAAAAAAGTAAATC